ATTTTCATCTTCCACAAAAAAGAATTATGGGATCTATGAAGCTTTAGGTACTTGCTCAAAAGCTGTATCCAGGTCTCCATTGTTGGATTGTAGCTTATGTGGCGCAACAGTGAGAATCTGGGACTTCCTGACCATCTCACGTCCTTCTAGCTTTGTTCCTAATAGCACTGATGTTCCAGAAAGTGGAAAGAAGACGACATTGACACGAGGAGTAAGTGCAGCTAGTGGCATCGATGGGTGGGTGGCTGCAGATGGTACAGAGAGGGACCAGGCAGAGGACCACGATGAAGCTGCAACTGGTGAAGGAAAATCATTGTCAAATGTCGGGGTGGATCTAAATCTTACCATATCTGCTGGATTGTCTTCTTCACGACTGCACATGAATTTGACATCTGAACAGTACCGAGATGTTCATAGAAGAAGAGATCTATTGACTGGGCAGCCTTCCGGTAGTGAGGTTGGTGATCGTGCAGCTTCATATGAATCACGTGGTCCCAGTTCCCGCAAGAGGATCCTAGATGAGGGTGGAAGCACTGTTGACACGCCACAGCTATTGATTCACCAAGCAGACAGTGTCGAAGGAACTGTCATCGACCGTGATGGTGATGAAGTAGATGGTGGTGGGCAGTACACTGGTGGCCCTTCAAAACGTGCCCGTGACTCTGGTGCGGGTCCTAGCCAGTTGCCCTATGGAAAAGACTCCTTCGGTGCAGGTCCCAGCCGGTCATTTGGCTTCGACATTGGCGTCGGTGCTTGTAAAGATGACTTTGATCAGGGTCCTGAGCAAATAATTGGTTATCCATCCACCAGAGATTCAGCACATGTCTCCTCTGTCATTGCAATGGACACAATTAATCACGATGCGAATGATGATTCAATTGAGAGTGTTGAGTACTTTCCTGGGGACTTTGATGACATACATTTGCCTTCTACATCGACAGTCAAGAACACAGAGGCCAATGAGACATCAGAACTGAACTATAGTAACCAAGCGCAGCAAAGCACTTGCCCAGCAGTTGTGAGAAGTGCAGGTGAAATAGGTGTTAGTAGTACAAATGAAGAAGAAGTAGTGAATGCGGATACTGGTACTGCACATGGGAAAGATGGTCCCAGCTTTGGAATTAGTGGAGGAAGTGTTGGAATGGGTGCTAGCCATGAAGCTGAAATACATGGGATTGATGCTTCTATATACAGAGCAGACAGTGTTGTCGGTGATGTAGAACCTGTTGCTGAAGTAACTGACAACCAGGGTCAGACGGGTGAATTTGGCCCAGATCCAGGATTAATGGGTGATTTTGTCCCTGAAGAAATGGATAGAGAGGACCCCCAAGGTGATAGTCAAGAATTGATGTCTCATACTATAGCAAGGGCTGATAGTGGCTCAAAAATTGTGGGTTCAACAAAGGCAGATTCTGTTGAAAGTGGAGAAAAGACAAGTAACATGCAGGCCACCTCATGCGAGAATAGCCCTCATCCTTCACTTTCTTGCAATGCTGTTTTATGTTCTGGCTTTGAAGCATCCAAAGAAGAAGTAACTCAGGCTCCCAATCTGACTACCGATGACTGTGGATATGTTGAATCAGGGTATAAATTTACAAATGGATCAGGTAGACTATTGTTGCAGCCAATTAATTTTTTAACTGGCACTACGTGTGATTATGATACAATATTTCTGGATAGACAAATTGAAGTTGAAAACTTTCAGTCTGGATTGTGATTTCCACTTTAAGGATTCATTTTGTTATAATTTACTGTGCAAATCATGAGCTTCTACTATTTGTCGTGAATTTTAAAATAGGTGGAACCTTTCAAACTCCGTGCGATGATTAGCTGTTACTGACATATTCTTACTAGTTCTATCCTTAGGTGTTTCTTCTTGACGGTCATTTTTATTTATTTATTTATTTTTTTGCATTTGGGCATTATTAGAACCTCCCAGTGGCGGAAACAACTATGACGAAGTACTTGAGTTTGATCCAATCAAGCACCATAATCACTTTTGTCCTTGGGTGAATGGAAATGTTGCTGCAGCTGGCTGTAGTAGTGGTGGTGGCTCTAGTTCGAGTGGTGCTGTCGCACTTTGTGGTTGGCAGCTAACATTAGATGCTCTAGACGCATTCCAATCTCTAGGACAGGTTCCAATCCAAACAGTGGAGTCTGAATCTGCGGCTTCCATGTATAAGGTTTGCCTGAATATTCATACTTCTTTGAACTGCTATTTATTTCTACTTTCTTAGTTGAGTGCAGTTGTGAAAAATCGGAAAATAGTTTTCTTGCATAATAATGTTGGAGACAATTGATTGATGTGTAAAAGCGCAGTAGGTTATGTTCCTAATGTATTCTGTCAGCCAGTGTATGCACCAAAGTTTATTTGACAGCCTTTTTCATGTTGCTGGTCTGGTTCAAGTTCAACCCTTGGTTTTTATTTATTCTTTTCTTTTAAGAAAGGGGTTTCATTATCTTCTAATTATGCGGGGTTTCTGGCACTGTGTTTGTGATACTCTTATTCTACATCATAATATATTTAACAAATAACATTAATAACTATAAAAATGAGAAGATCGTCTTTGTACTATTTGTAGTGTCATTGCTACCAACGTACTCCTTATTCCTCATATTCGAGGATGAATATCAACAATGTCCATTATTTTTGTTGCCCGGCATGATTTAGTGTTCTTATTATATGTAACTGGTCATATCTAGGATTTAAGTAGTCTCTCAGTTATCTGTTACCCTTTTGAATTACTATTATTACTAAACTCAGAGCTTGACACGTATTTTGGTTGCAGGATGATCGTCTTGCTCCAAGCCAGAAGCTCTTACCGCGCCACTCTTTCAACAAAAGTCATGGGAAGAACTGAATCTGAATCTATGTTAGAACTATCAACTATGTTGTCTGGTAATTTTCTACTTCTGACATGATGATTATATAGAGTTTCTTGTAAAATATATATATATACTTGTAAGGAATGTTAATAGCATTATGCTCCAGCTTTATATTTCATGCTGTTATGGCCAGTGAAATCTGCTTAAAATCATGTACAGTGATTACTTTCCACTTTGACTGTAGGTGAATCTCATAGTTGTCATCCTATAAAAATATAGAAAGGTTCTGTTTTTGTAATATGCGACTAATCAATCATGGTTTTATGTCATTGGTTGCAGTGGTTATGGCTTCTTTGTGCAGTCACAGAACAGGATGCATACCACCCCAGATCATACCAATCACCTTAAAATTATATGTTGCCGGTTTTCTTAATTTGGAATAGATAAATTTTTCATTTTTCTGTAATGTTCGTCAAGATCCAAGAGTACTTCTGTTTTCTTTATGTTTCGAGATCTGTATTTCCTTTATTTCTGTAACAGATTGGAATAACGCCTCGGTGTACTATGAGGCCTGTGTAGTCTGTCCTAACAGTATCAGGTTCGAGACGTAGATTCAAGAATTTTGCGACTGTAATTAATTCTGAGATTTGTTTCACACCGTACCTTTAGGGTTCTACCTGGCTGCCCTCCTTTTAGTTCTTTTCTCTGTGCGACATATGTTGGTATTTATTCAAATAGCAGTCCATTTTTTATTTTAATCTTATCTGACGCTTAGGAAGGGAATGAAATAAATTGGACTTCGTTTATTGAGGGTATGCCACAAAAATCGTTGGTGTTTTTGTTGTTGTATATTCATGTTTAGTAAGTTGGTAATTATGAGCTTGGATTGATATGCTTGGGTTTCAAGGTCATAAATTGTCAAGTCTTATCTAATGAATTGAGCGCCGTTACGAAGGCTGACAAAATGAGAGCCGGTCTCATCACTCCTCTTGAACTTTAACCCGTAGCTATGGAAGAACAAACTGGGATTGAGCTTCCCTAAATGGCCCCAACTCAAGATATCTAAACAAATCATCATGTGGATAGCATTATGGTGAAGTTGGTCGAGGGGAATTTTAAAGAACAAACTGGGATTGAGCTTCCCTAAATGGCCCCAACTCAAGATATCTAAACAAATCATCATGTGGATAGCATTATGGTGAAGTTGGTCGAGGGGAATTTTAAAGGTGCGTTAAGGGCAAGAAGATTGTTAAAGGCACCTGAGCAGCATCCATTGCGATGTCGGGATGATGAAACTTATTTGGCAATTTTGGTATCTCGATCAGTTGAAAAGCCGAGTACCACTTCTCGACTGACCCCTCGGCAAATGAAGCTCGACTGCTCTTTTGTCATCAATCTTCATATAAGAAGTCCCACCGACTTGTTGCGGGGCGACGTCCGTCTTTTTAACACGACGACATGTGTCATGACTTTTCTTCGAACGTCCTTCATCAACAATAAGGCGGTCCTCAGCGTATCGCTTCTTTAATCCCTTTTTTACGGAACTTCATGTTCCTCCACTTCAGCTCTCCCCGAGTTGGGTATGATTATCTGTACATCGGGCTGAGATTAATAGCATCAACAACGACTACTGGAGTCGGGCTTGGCGCTTGTCCAGCGGTTGGGCTTGGCTCAGTACCTCTAATAGCCGCATTTAGTGACACGTCGGTTCCAGCATGGGCAGAGCCGCTACCAATAGCGCCTTTCCTCAACGACTTAATAAGATTCTTGCGACCCATCTCGGTTAATCTGAGTTTTTTACTTTTGCCGACTTTGGTCCAAAGGTCGAAATTTAGGCACCGATATCAGAAAACTTTGGCGTCCTCAATAGACTTGAGTCCAAAATAGCCTAGCAGCGAATAATAAACTGCAGGAAATACAACAAATTATCAAATTCAAGTTCAATTGAATCTGAAGTAAAAATTGTGAAGATTAAAGATTATACCTGGGTCGAAAGAAGAATCTATGACACCGGGAGACAGACTAACGCGTTCGAACTTTGAGTCTGTTACCGATCGTTAACTACGCTTTTGCTGACTTAACTCAAACAACTCGACCAAGAGATCTCTCAGTTCACTAGTGAGTTTGGGTTCCTTGGTTTGTTTGACTACAAATATGAAAAGTCCAACCTATTAGTACAAAGAAAACAATCCAAGATTAGAACAACTCAGTACAAGAATCGGACTTACAATATGAAATAGTAATGATAGTCGGGATAGTCATCCCGTCTATTAAAGTCTCGTTGAGGAAGTCTGCAGACTACCATTCTCCACCAACCCACAACCACTCCTCATGAAAAGCATGAAGCGCGTCCGGTATTTTTGTTACCAGATCACCTACTTTCAACCCGTATGTGGTTTACCAGCACAGAAGAAGCAACACAACGGCTCTGCTACCTTCCTACTCGGGCTTTGTTTAAAAGTGAACAAACTTCTCATGTCAGATGTCGATGGTAAGTCCCAACCCGTCTCATTCAGTAGAACCATCAATCTGATAACTCTCTTCCAACTATTCGACGCAATCTGGCACAAACTCAACCCCCAATCGCGAAAATAATTTGTGATCAAATTGGGAAGAGGAAATCTCAGTCCCGACCTTAAACTTTCGGCAAAAATACCAATACACCCAGGGAGGAGGGGCAGGTGATTCTTTTCCCTGGGTTGGTGCAACGAGCTTCACCGATTGTGGGACCCGGACGTGTTCCTAGAGCAGTACTACGTCGACATCAGTGAGGATTCAGTTCACCAATATAATCTGCGTCAGCGTCTGGCCACCGACGCGCGGGCCGCATCCAATACTCCGGTAACATCATCACATCCCTTTCAACTTCAATATCACCTTCAATGTTATCCCTCTTAATGTCGAGACGTTCGAAGAATATTGGGTCCCACAAATGGTACTCGAGTGCCAATTCCAAGTCCTCCGAGTCAAATGCCTCCTCAGAAATCATTTTACTATTACTAGACGCCGTTTGTTCCTCGTTCGCAGAAGCCAATTCTCCTGCCGACTTGTTCGATCGACTTGGGGGAGCCCGAGTGTACACCAAGATGGATTTACAGAAAGGCTACTACCAAGTCCGCATCTCCGAGGGAGACGAACCCAAGACCATGTGCATCACGCGGTATGGATCGTATGAACTTCGCTTTGCCAATACTTCTGACTTCACTTCGCTTCAAAAAGTTCGTTAAGCAGCCGACTTCTAAGTTCCTGTCCTCCTTCGTACATTCTTCCTGTTTCCCATCAATTTCAAACTTTGTATTTCGCTATTTTTCTGGTATAAATTTTAAGAACCAGATCCTGTAAGACAAAAAAAGGAAAAGTCTAATAAAAATAACAAAAAGCAAGAAACCTCAGGGCAAAATCTTAGCAAATTCAAAACCCTAAGTGCTGACTATGAAGAAATTACTTGAATTCACGATCACAGGAAAAAAAAAAGAAACACAGAAAGTTTGAAGAGTAAGAGAACACAAGAGTTTGCTAATTGGAAGATTTCAGAAGTAAAACCCTAGGAGGTTAAAGTTTTGAGTATTTATAAGCTGAATTTTGTGATCGTTGGGTGAAATGGGGGCGCATGCAGCAAACGCGTCCCCCAAATGAAACGACACCACTCTTCATACATGAGCCAATCTTTGGCGCCCACGTGGGCATCTACATATATTCGTTAAAACGCCTTAAACACTAGCACGCCTTTTCGCGAGTCGTCGCATTTATTCCTAGTCGTTATGCCGCTTCAACTTAAGCGAATAATAAACCAAATTCATACAAGTGTCCACACATCGGAATTAACTCAAAAGTCTGAATGAACGCGAAGAGCATTTGCAGGTCGGGTTCAATAAACCTAAAATGCGACATCAACAACCACCACTCTCATATGCCAACTAATGTCGGGGGCATGTGTGTCGATAACTGACCTGGTCAAACCTACTAAACATGTATCATGCGCTCTTATAGCAACTCGATTCAGACCTGGTAAATGAACCGACTGCATTCCTACGGTAACAACCGACCTCCACAGAACCGAGGTTTCCCGCGAAGACTGAGATCCGAGAAGTCCAAAAACAAAAGCAGGTGACAAGGTGTCTACATGACTCAAATAACCACCACAACAAACGTCATCATACTTGTGGGCCCAACTGCCATAAACCGCCTCCATAAAGCTACTTTGCATTTAATTTGGCTGTACCAACCTCGATTCACGAGCCAATTAAAGTTACTATAAGTAGTGAAATTTATTTGTTGTACAAGGATCAGATTCAGGACATTACGTACAAACATACAAAAACCAACTCGATTTACACCTAAATCGACGTCATGTACTTCAAAATCATCCACTAATAATACAAATTTCCTGCACTTTATACATTAGTAACGCGTTATTATAGTTTTTAAATCCAGCATAACAATAGAGATCTTTTATTTTATACTTCAATCAACATTATTTTGCATTTATCAAATTTTTTATACAATAAAACTATATTCAGTGTCTATATTTTTAATTACTATTTTATATTATTATTTGATGAAAATAAATAATACATATAAAAGTATTATTTTGATATAGTTCGATTGGTTTTGTTATTTTAATTTTAATTTTTTTTTTGTAACTAAGGCTGAAACAGAACCAAAATAACTGAAATTTTAATATATGTGAACAAACACAATGTTGTGCTAACGTGCATTTTCGAACGGATTAATGTGCATTTGGTCTAACACTATTGTACAGTCTGATAGATCTATTGTGCGTGCATTCTGTAGCATGGATTTTCCTATGTGAAAGTCCAATCTAAAATCGATCCAAAATAATCAGTTTATTCGATTGGTTAACTGAGTTAACTTAAATAATCAAAATATTTTTTATCTATATTATTAAAAAAATATTTATTATTTCAATATTTATTATTTATTATGTTATATTATTTGTCTTTAACATTTTATTTACTATTTTAATATATATGTATAAAGAATATATAAAAATAAAATTATATTAAAATTCTTA